CCGCGATCGATGCCTGCACCCCCAGCCCGGGGGTGCGCAACACAGCGGCGCAGTCGGCCGCGACCAATCGCGGCGCCGCGGGGGTCCTGCCGGGACACGGGCGTAATTAGGCGAACTCTTCAGGTGGGCGCTTCGCGCCCTCGCGAGGTCGCCCTATTTCCGGGATGTGGCGGCGTGGCATCGGATGGGCGCGTCCTTCGCCCTTGAATTCCGGGACGAGTTGGCTATCTCGCCCCGGCAGCTCTCGGCGATGACCCCGGGCCCTGGGGAAATCGCCGGCCGTATCGCCCTTCACGGGCCTCAGCTACCGCGCCCGCCTTACCGGTCGTGCCCCTGGCGATTCTTGTATCCTTGCGCGCGTGGTCACGCTCTCCGTGTGTGCGCGCTCTGTCACCCGACCGCCGCGTGCCCCCGTAGCTCCTGCGCCAGGTCGCCTGTACTCCAAGCACTTTCCGCCGTCAATGGCCTTGAATCCTCTCCTCCGTCGCTTCGTTTGTCCGGTGAGGTGCCGCGGTACATATAAGAGGTTCCAAAAGAATTAATAAAAGTATGCGGTTTAATTTCGGGCCTCCCGGAGATCTCGGTCTTGTTTCAACAACGCGGCTGCACACTCTAAATTTTTGGGAGTGAAATTTCACTTCAAGGGAGTGAAATGTCACTCCTAGCGATCGTGAAAGTTGCGCCAGTCCGTCAGGAGCGAATATTCACTTTAAGAAGGGAGTGAAGCATTCACTTCGTAATTGGAGTGAATTTTTCATTCTTAGGGAGTGAAAAATCATTCTAAGCAAGAGTCAATTTTCAATCCAATGTGAGCAAATAATTTCACTCTCTTAAAAAGGGTGAAATTATTCACTCTCTCCTTAAGATGACGACATATCCACATACATGGATACACTGAGAAAAAAGATTTTAACAAAAAACAATTTTTTTTCTTATTTTACGATTACATATTATTATTTTTAGAGTTTAATTTGTGTTTAACTATTTCGTATTATTTCCATTTTATTAATTACAATTTATACGCAGGTTTACAATTTTTGAAAACACATCGGGATTCGAACCTGAGATCTCTAGAACATCAGACTTATACGCTAACGCTGAGCTAATGATACTTCGATACGAAGGATTTATTCTTTCCAGTATATATTATGTTACATATTATGTATTTTTATTATTTA